TTATCTTTCAAAATTATAACTTAATCAATTTTTCAAAAAAACTAGAAAGTTTGACGCCCGCCATTCTTAATTGCTAAGGTCTGTAATGGATATGTGTCTATGACGAGGGGGAGCCACAAGAACTTAAAGTTAAAACTTACACTCACTATTTTCTTCGAGAATATATGTGAATTCCACAAAAAAGATATCTTTTCATTATAAGAAAAGAATAAATAAGTATTATGATTGTCAAATTTAATAATAGCATTAATTGTCTTTAATAACTCAAGAAAATTGATTCATGGCTTTTAAAATTCGATACTGTATGACGCAACTGAATTACAAAGTAATTCAAAATGAATGAATTATAAAATAATTCAGTTTCTCTTAATTAGTATCAGTGCTTGAGGTAGAATCTATCAAAATCTATTGAATTCTTGATCTGGATGCTGCGAAAGAACTCATGTCATATCTCTCGGAATGTGAATGCCAAGAAATATTATTAGACCCTATGGAAAATCCATAGCATAAATAAACTTAGAAAAATCATATGTTTCCATACAGAATTCTGTTAAAGAGTATATATGTATATACAGAATGGATATATACTGATAGATTCTTTAAATAAGTCTCTTTCAATAGGTGTGTTGCTTTTAAATTATTTTGTACTTCATTCATTTTTGTCATGAACTTAAATTCGAAAGACAGTGCTGAAGAATGTCAGCTCACGAAATCCTCATATATAATTAATGTACAACTTTTGATATTTGATATTTATGCAATATTTATTCTTATATCACAACACGCTTGATGAAAAGAAACAAATAAACGTGATATCAGTAATCACTGTAAAGTGCGCTGTCTGTCAATTTTTAAATGAAAGAACCTTACAATAGAGATGTCACTTACCTCTGACCTCCTCAGATGATATCCAGATGAAACAGACAATTGTTAGCCAGATTTTCCAGCGTCTTCTGCAAGAGAGACAAACAAGAACAAGATATTTTATCATTTGTTTTACTCACTTTGATGCTTGTTGTATATCTCGATAACCAAATAACATTGTGATAGATCTCTTAATTTCTTCAAGATTAAATGGTTCCAAATGACAAGAAGGAAAAGATTGGGGTAGTATCTAAAACACAACAAAATCTAATCAATGTAAATCACGTTAAGAAAAAAAATCCCTATCATACACAAAAAAATAATTCAAATAAAGTAAACTAATTGCACAGAAATGAAATTGGATGTATTCATCTAAAAACTGAAGACAAAAGAAGTATGTATCGTACAAACCATTTAATTTGCTATCGATTAAATGATCTAACAGAACTTTTATTGTTTACTCGATTTTTTATAGTCGTATTGTTTTATTTTTCTTTCATTGATAGAACAAGAACGTGTCTTATGATATAATTTTCGTCATTTAATTTGTTTTTCTTTTCTTATACGTTTAATCGAAGGTTATACAAAACGAAAACAAAAAGTTATCATAAAAATATACCATTATTTTGTGCCTGATCATTTCGTTACACTTGATTTCACATAACTTCATAAAAAAGTACAATTTTTTCGTTTGCAACTTGATAAAACATATTTATCCATATATTAGCTTGCCTTTCAAATATCATCCATTTGATGTTAGCTGACTAAGGAAAAAAAGCATTTTTATCTGTATGTTACAAATAAATATTTCGTTCGATACACTTATTTTTGATTTGTTGGGGATTTGCATATTATTTTCTTGATGCACATTTTATCATTTCTCCTGCTGGTAAAATAGACATGGTGTGCGTCACGTTATTGTCTATATTTTGATACGATAATGAAACATTGGCTAAAATCAATTATCCATCCGGATTATTCGTGTATTATATTCAACAGTATTGCGTAGATCCTCTGATACGCATGCTCTCTTTCTGATTTCTCTCTAGTTTGATTTTTGTACAATCACATGTCATATATATGGAGCACCCCAAAAGTTTTTTCCACCGACTCTCCTAAATGACATAATTTGAGTATAACTATTTTGTCATAATGCCTAGATATATTTAGGATTATGTGTAAAATTTTAGACTCACAAATCCTATCCTTCGTTGTATTTTTAAATTACTTCCAGACCACTGTTACGCTACTTTTCAACTGCATTTCTGTCAGCTTGTGAATGAGTTTTTCGACGCTTTGATATTCGACTACTGGATTCTATTTTTATCATTACGATAAAACAGTCATCTATGACTAATGATAATGTAGAACAGAAGATAGACATTGATTTCTTCTAATTTATTCAGAAAATAACAATCTCATTGAATATAAAACTATTTCCATTCATCAATGAGTTGAAAATGCATTCATCGATTACAAAACGTTATTCAACTTTATATACGCAAGAATCATCGAAATAAATACTGACGAAATGATGGTCAAAGTATCCTATATTCATTTGTATCTTCAGTCAGAACCATCGTTAATCGTTGCTGAAACAGCATTAAAATGTTGCTCAGTTACACCAACTGAAAACCATCTGAATGGGGCCATAACTTCATTGTTGAAATCGATTAAATGATTTGATTGTTGTAGGACTTGAATGTATTAAGTCCCACCATACTCATAACAAACGCGCACGATTCTTTTTCTCAGTTAATTCAAGTTCCTAGTAATGTAAAATCATTCTCTGCTTGTGTTGTGATAAGAATTTGAAATGCATCTGAAAGCTAGCATAACAATGGTCTGACATTAATTTAAAAATACAACAAAGAATAAGATTTGTAAGTTTGAAATTTTGCACATAATCCTAAATATGTCTAAGCATTATGACAAAATAGTTACACTCAAATTATGTCATTTAGGAGAATCGGTGGAAAAAGCTTTTGGAATGCTCTATGTATATAGAGAAATGAGTGAATATGTAGAATGAATTTTTTTGATTTTCCGTCTTTTGTTTTTGTGATATTGTTTTTCTATCAGATAGTTGATAATGGTTGTCAGAAAGACGAAAAATTTTCGGCTGATCTATAAAATATTGATTGTACATAAAGAAAAAACTCATTGTGCATATTCACTCATTTCTCAATATACGATATAGAATCGTCAAAGTAAGTTACTGCATGTGTTATATGCTTATTTACACGAGGATTAGTTCACTTTCACAGGTCGTATGAACTTTAATGGCAAAAATATTTTTATTCAGAATATCGTAAGATGAAAGTTCGAACAAAATCTTACTGTAATTTGCAACAACAAGATATATTAGGTATCTAAGACATCGTAAACGTCCATACATAATCGTTTTTGACTGTCTTAATACTTTACTCAGGAAAACAAGTCATAAAAATTACATTGAGAGCGTAAGCAACGAAAAGTATATGATAGTGTAAGTAATAAAAAGTAATTATTACTGATTTGCTTTTTTTCTTCGCTTGGCACTATTTTTTAAGACCAAAAGAAAGGGTTCCACACAGAATCAAATTATTCTAAAACCTGAAAACTTACAAAAATAATAACTAAATCTAGAATTTTGAAAGATTCAGTATAACATATTTTGTTAAAGAGTAGTAATCAGTATCTACACGGCAATGAACAGTTGAATCAATCGATGAGGATATTATTCTTGTTTATACAGCATTGGTTTGCTTTACATAAAGTCATACATATCATGGAGAAATAGAAAAAAGGAATGTTTACATATGTTAGCGCCCAAACTTAGATTACATCCAATCTCGGTTTGACCTAGGCCAATGTTGGAATGGACGCACACTATTTTATACTCAATATGAAAGATCATATGTGAAAGTTATAGGGATATTTCCTTCAACCGAATTAATATTTGTCTAAAAAACAAATGATCATGGATATTTTTGGAATAACTCAAAAATGAAAAGAGCTAGAGAGTTGCGATTTTCACAATTACATAGGTACATTAGTACTCTATATATTTACTAGGATATGGTAAAAATCCTCACAGATTCAGGGTTTCGGTACTACCAATCTTTTAAAGAGTTCGTTGCGGTTTTTTAAAGTCCCATAAGAATCTATATATCTGAACTATATAAAACGATAGCTCAAAGATGAGTGTGGATGTCATCGAAGATCTCACCCATACCTACACCTTTATAGGTATAAATTGTAATTCAGCAGAGATACATAGATTTTTTAATATAACTTTTCTACAGTACACTACTTCTGTGAGAAAATCAATTTTTGAATTTTATCATTGAAACATTATCCACACGAAAGGCTATCATCACACTAACTTGTCTGTAAAATTCAAGACATTTTTGATAGATTATATCTGAGATACACATTTTCATATTCTGAAACTTAAGAGACAAATGTGGAGAAAATGTCAAGTAAAAAATCGAGATTTCAATTTTCTCACAAAAGTAGGTTAAATTTTTCAGAATAAAAGATTATTGCCTTCGCGAATGTGGATATTAGCAAAGTAAACACTCACACCCTAAATATAGGACTAGAAATTTTATCATAGTCTATTCACTACAGTTCTAATATATCCTACAAAATTTTATACCATTTGAATATACTTGTTCATGTTTGTTTTCTTTAATCATTTTTATTTTCTCTAAAAAACATATGTTGATCTTTTTCATCATTTTGTTTTGTTTCAACGTTATTTAGTTTGTAAAAGAAATCAGACAAGATTAAAGTTAACTAAAGAAGATACCATAACAATGAGAGAAAAACAAACGAAACAAGAAGCGAAAAAAAAAAATTGAAGAGATCCCATTTATATCATGACTATAACAATAGGAACAACAAAAAAGAAATGATCTATAGATTTTTATTCCACGTACATATTAACGGATGCTGCTAAGCAGCACATGTTTATACACAACATATATATGCTGATGAAACAAAGAACATAAAAGTACAATACAATTTTCTAATAAATCTTTTTGTTGTTCAAATAGTTTCAATCATTTTCTGAAATATATATTTTTTATAAAATGCGAAAAAAAAAGTTTTATTTATTTATTTTTTCTTTTGAAGTAATTATTGCTAAATTATGCATAAAGATCATCATCATCATTACTAGGACGATGTCCTCCACCTTGTCCACCACTACCACCAGTACCATGCGATGGTTGTTGTTGTTGATCAGGAAAACGAAATTGTGAACCAAAACCACGTGATTGTTGTAATGTTTGAGCAAACATTTCATATTTACGTATATCATTATCACTAACTGATCGTCGAGCAAATTTCATAGCTTCTTCAAAATGATCACGACGAATTTCTGGTACTGGATCTGGTTCATCAGAATCCATAGCTGTTTGTCCATTACGTTGTCGTTCTTTTTCAAGACTAATTTCTTTTTCAATTGATTCTCTTATTGCTAATTTACAAGCTCGTTGACATATTTCTGTTAAATCAGCACCACTAAAACCTTTTGTTACACTTGCTAATAAATTCATATCAACATCTTTAGCTATAGGTGATTTTCTTAAAGCAGCTTTTAATATAGCCATACGTGATTTATCATCTGGTAATGGTATATAAATTAATTGATCAAGACGACCTAAACAAAAAAAAAACATCAGTCTTCGCATATAATTTCTTTTTTTAATATTTTTGATTAGTGATATTGAAGTTTTATTTTTGAAGAAAATACTTATAGTATACGAAAAGTAGTACTGAATATATTTTAATTTCTTCTCTAATACCTAGCCATCTATAGATATTAGGATATAGAATTGCAATTCGTTGTATGTTGCTACATACAAGTTCATGAATAATACCCAATGAAGTTCTGTATACATATATAGCGAAAATCCATAGATGGGCTATGACAGGAAGATTTCCCAAAAAAAAAAACTAAACACAGTAGTTTACAAGCCTTGGAAGGCTAGATAAAAATTAATTTTTAATAGTATCATCTTAACAAGCACGAAATTCATTTTTAACCATTACTATACTGTTCGTATGTTCTAAGTATTATTTCCAAGTAAATGATTTTGTTTTACTTATTTACCTGGTCGAAGAATAGCTGAATCGATAATATCTGGTCGATTAGTTGCACCAATAATAAAAACATTTTTCTTTGCACCCATACCATCCATTTCAGTTAAAATTTGATTAATAACACGATCAGCTGCACCACCACCATCACCAGCACTACCACCACGAGCTTTAGCTATAAAAAAAAAA